CGCTCCTTAGCGTCCCTCGCGATCCGGCTACGCTCTCTCTCTCTCTCTCTCTCTCTCTCTCTCTCTCTCTCTCTCTCTCCTCTCTCTCTCTCTCTTCTCTCTCTCTCTCTCTCTCTCTCTTCTCTCTCTCTCTCTTCTCTCTCTCTCTCTCTCTCTTCTCCTCTCTCTCTCCTCTCTCTCTCTCTCTCTTCTCTCTCTCTCTCTCTCTCTCTTTTCTCTCTCTCTCTCTTGTCTCTCTCTCTTCTCTCTCTCTCTCTCTCTCTCTCTCTGTCTCTCTCTCTCTCTTCTCTCTCTCTCTCTCTCTCTCTCTCTCTTCTCTCTCTCTCTCTCTCTCTATCTCTCTTCTCTCTCTCTCTCTCTCTCTTCTCTCTCTCCTCTCTCTCTCTCTCTCTCTCTTGCTATCTCTCTCTCTCTCTTCTCTCGTCTCTCTCTCTCTGTCTCTCTCTCTCTTCTCTCTCTCTCTCTCTCTTCTCTCTCTCTCTCTCTCTCTCTCTCTCTCTCTCTCTCTCTGTCTCTCTCTCTCTCTCTCTCTCTCTCTCTCTCTCTCTCTCTCTCTCTCTCTGTCTCTCTCTCTCTCTCTCTCTCTCTCTCTCTCTCTCTCTCTCTCTCTCTCTCTTGCTCTCTCTCTTTTTTTTCTCTCTCTCTCTCTCTCTTCTCGTTTTATTTCTGCTTCCTTGTGTTGTTATTGTACTTTCTCATTTTCATAACTATGCTGTTTGTTCCTGCCCACACTGCTTGTATTTGGCGCCAGATGGCTATCATCCGTCACGGGAAACCCTTCACTTTAATTATGATTGCACTAACACATCACACCGTTTATGTTGTCATGACACATCTCCTTCCGCTTACTTTATTGCCTAAGTTAGTTAGTCGCTTTTCATAAAGCGCTGCTCTATTCTCCCTTGGCTCGCGTTCGATCTCCCATTTTCAGAGCGAGTGCCCTTGACCGGACTGCGACGGCCGTCGCTCTGACCGATCGTGACCTTCACCGGGCTGGTGCCGGCCCTGACCGGCCGCTGCCTCCGGGAGGATCGACCCTCCCCGACCCGGTCCAGCCGTGTAGGACGGTCCCCAGCTGCGCGGGAGGTGTGCGGCCGCCGCGAACGTCCCGGGGGTCCGTGCCGCGTCCCCGGCGCACGGCTGGACGGCGGTCGTACTGATCTGAGATGTTCTCAGAGAGTGTTGGCCGCTTCAGAGCAATGGCCGGTTGGGAGGGGTGAAATATGTGGCATAGTGGCTCCTTCTACTGGTGCTGTCGGTATCAGTCGGCTTGTCTGTCCATCTGTCTGTCGGCATCTGTCAGTGCGTCTGCCCCGTCTGTCAGCTGTGGCAGCTGTGTTTGACACGAACCGAGCGTCGGTGACGGCTGCCGTGGGGCCGCTGTCAGCCGTCAGAGGAGGCCGGTGACAGCCGATGTTCATTACGGCAGTCGGACAGTCAGCAGTTAACACCGCCGTCGGCGCACTAGGCCGTAACTGGGAGATTTATAGGAAATACACCAATTGGTGATGAGTAGTGACCGTCGCCGTCGCCGTGTCAGTTACCTTGGTTACATGAGCAAGTGAGAACGCATCAGGAACGGATTTTCCTATTCGCTCACCATTTTAGTCAGTTTGTAATACGCATTTACTCTGCTCATGTAACCCTGCTCATGTAACTGTGTGCTAATGCTGCTCCAGTAGCGTCACTACTGGCCGGTGGCCGTGGTCCAGAAATTAACGCAGTTTAACTCACCCCACCCCTTCCCTAGCGTGACCCTCACGCGGCTTCACGCGGCTTAACTGGGCCCGGCCGTGAACACCGAGCGAACGAGCAATATGTCCGGCGGCCTCAGTTCCAATTAGTGGTGTCAATTTCAGAAAACGTATGTCCAAAGTCCGTCCAATGTCGAATGCTTACGTTGATTGTCCGTCCAAAAATGTCCAAGCCAGCCATTTGTCCAAAGATGTCCGACACCTACGCAATAGTTTACACTCAACACTGTTATTTAAGTTGCTTTTCATGTACCGTTACAAGCTGAAAAGTGTTAATCATATCGAAAGCTGAGCTTTCTAATAGCCAATTAATGTTAAACACGACTACTTTTTAAAAATGTTGAGGTGTAGCAAGCGATTGTCCAAAGTTGTCCAAAGCCTGCTGCCATTGTCCAACCGAATTCCGAATTGGACATTGGACAAAATCGGAATTCCGAAGATTCAAGTTCCGATTGACACCACTAGTTCCAATATAGTGGCGCCGACCCCCCGGCGAGACTGAGGTCGGGCTGAGCCGAGCTGGTCCGGCCGCGGTGGGCTCAGCTGATATAGATGGATGCGAAGATGAGTTGCCCTTGGCCAGGTATTGCACTCGAGTAATTGCATTTGAAACGGCACTCAGGGCTGGTGTGCTTTGTTTAGTCCCACATCTTATTTTTATGGTCTGTTTTTGTTTGTTTGGTATATGGTTGTTGGGCGGAGGGAGTATGGTCAAGTCTTAAGAGGCTGATGTCCTTTGGTTCTTATCCAATATCCATGGCTGGTATTGTTCGTACTCCCATTTATTCTTCTAAATACAATATGCGCTGTCAATGCTCCGCTCCACTTTCATTGTGTTATTATCTCCTGCTCAGTATTTTCCCTTTCTCCATTCTTACCGCGCTATTCTCTATTCTCTCCAGTGTCTGTGTTGGTTCTCTGTCCGTTCTCTGGAGGCTGCGGCGATACCGGCCCCACCCCAGGGCCTCCCCCTGTCCGCCATCCCCGTCCCAGTTGTCCGGCGCCGGCCAGTCGCCGCCGCCGCCCGGACGAGCGGTCATCCTTCCGCCGGGCCGTCCCCGTATATCGAACTCGGTCCGGCCGCGGTGGAATTGTGCCGCGGTGGAATTGACCTCCGCCGGACCGGTAGGGTGGCGAGTGGGTGTCGGTTTGGCGATGGACACCCGCTGCTACACTTAGTGAGCAGGCGGACAGACAGGACAGTAACTGCGACTGCTGTACGGATGTTAAAACACAAATAATGCTGTGAACGATAGAGTGATGTTTCAGCAGAAGTCTAAGGTGCCGGATCCGACCGTTCTAGCAGTGACAATCCCGTCGTTCCTGATCATGACCGTTAACCTTTCTTTATGCCAGCCTCCACCTATTGGCCCCTCCCCCTTCCCACCCAAGCCAATCTGGACACATCCGACCGAATCTTCTTGCATAATGCACACTCTGCATCGAATGACGTCAGTCTTACCGAGCAAACTGATGTGTTGCTTTCTCCGGGCTTTGCCAACACCAATAACCGCGAGCAAACAACGCGCGCAGAGTTGTCGCCGACCGGGCTTGTTCCGTGCTGCGGCTGTGTGTGTTTGTGTCTGTGTTGTCGGATCGGATCATACCTCTTCTCCGCCCCTGGGAGGGGAGAGGTCGACCGCGGCCTCCTGCTCTTGGGCTGGCCATAAATTGCCTCAGACATATCTGGTAGTTGCGCCTCTCTAGGGTAGTTACTCAATGCTCTATCCACCGAGAGGTGGATAGGAGTGCTGCTAGCTAGGACTGATTGTATCGGTCCCAATTTTCCTATCGCCGACGGTAGTGGGGCCAGCCGGCGCCTGATCGTCACAGGGGCCTGTTCGCCGTTCACGCGCGGCAGATGTGTTGTGGCAGGCCGCGCTGTTTTGGAGGCGGGCGGTTTTTGCCGGGCGCGGATTGATTTCGTCTGTGGATGTTGGTCGCGGCTGAGGCCGAATGGCACACGTCCCGCGAGACAGCCTGACGAACACACCGGCTGATACAGACTGGCGCACAAACAGATGGGATTGCGGACAGACGGGCAAACGGACAGATGAACGGGTAACAGTGAGGCGGACAGACGGACGGCGGACGCGCAGGGACAACAGGCGGGTGTCGATGCCCAGATAGGGCGCTGAGTGACGCACGTACGGGTTGGAGCTCATATGTAAAGTCAGTTCGCTCAGTAAACTCACTTCTAAGTCATAAGTGCGGCGTATGATCTGTATGTGTCATTAGTGGGTAACTACCGGCGAACGTTAACTATTCGGGAGGCCGTTTGAGCCGGAATGTCTCCCTGAAGCCTCGGCGAGCGCCGCAGCTGTTACAGGGTCGATGGCGCCGGTCTGTGGTGAGCGCTGACCCTCGGTTACCAGTGACCCCAGATGGTCCCGGCCAAAGGTCACTGAACATGTGCTAATGGCGCCGGCGGCACACTACGCCCAAAGGCCGGCTTCCGACGACCAGGAGTATTAGCCGAGGTGGAGCGCGGTTCAGGGAGGGATTTACTTTGAGCCGCCGCTTCCATAGTTGTGGCCTTTTGGTTGATTGGGTGGGCTGACCTTTGTGAGGAATTTGTTAGTCGGTAGTGTGCTACACGTGTAGCGATACTGATGTTCTTCCGGTATGTGGCATTTGAAGGGGCTTTAAACAGCGAGTGGCAACCATAGGGTACAGTGTAGTTGCTGTTTGAGTGGATTTGAGTGGTGGGCGCAAAATGACCTCGCAGTCGGCGCGCCCTTAACCCCCAACAAACAAACAAACAAACAAAGGATTTGAGTGGAATAACGATCCGCCGCTCAGATGCGTATAAAACCAGTAACTTTTAAAACCAGCTCTTCGTCTTCCGTGTCTCCAGACGCATTTCTTTTCAGATGTCCGTCCTTTTTACGTGCCCTGCCAAATCCCTGACGTGTCTCCTCTGCTGTTCCACAGGTGCACGACTATCTCCGCACGAACCTGTGCTCGCTCTACGAGAACGACTTCATCTTCGACAAGTTCGAGTGCTGCTGGAACGGCAACGACACCCACATCATGACCGGATCCTACAACAACTTCTTCCGGGTGTTCGACCGCGAGAGCAAAAAGGACGTGACACTCGAGGCGTCGCCTGACATCGCCAAGCCCAAGACAATACTCAAGCCTCGCAAGGTAGGTGGCCGACAGATCATGAGTTAGGACTTTCTTCTGAGAGAGACGGATCAGTAGGAGTGAGGGCCTGAGGGGTGTATTTATTGACGAGCTATTTCTATGGACTTGCTGGCTTTTAGGGAATATCCAGTTATTGGTTCGTGGGACAAAACGTATCGGCGACCACCGTCTCGAGCTAGGCGTTGACTGCAGTTATTGAGTAGCGTTTCCGCCCGGGCGGTGATTGATCTGATTTGACGGTGTTACGTGCCTCGCAGTCCAATAAGTCTCACCATGCTTCTTCTGTCTCAAATCAGGACATTTTCCGCGCTCCTCCTGTCCATCACCAAGACAGCGCCCACACTTAGCGGCGTGAGTGGCGCCGGCTGTAGCCGTAGCGTGAGGCGCTGACCGCCGGTCGACTCTGGCCCGTTGGACTTTTGTCCGCTGCGGCTCCCCCGAGTCCGCCGCCTCTCCCGTCTGTCTGGTGTGCGCGGCTGAGCAGCCGGCCGGCCGGCCCGGGACGACCATCAGCCTGATTGGGCCGCCTGTCGGCCCGTTCGTACTGTGCACTGGCCGTCTGTTGGCTCCCGCCGTCTGGTGGTAGCTCCCTGGTGGCCGACTGACCGCTGAACGGCCTAACGACCTACCAGCCGGGCCGGCGAAACGGCCGGAGGGTCTGCCCTCAGTGTCTAGACGCCAGAGGCGCAGACACGCTCCTGTATGGAACGGAACCATCGGCTATTATATAAATGTATAACTTTCTGAGACATTAAACACCACGTCTGAAAATGCCTCCTCTGATGATGTTCGGTGTCCGTTGTGCAACCTCGTGGGTGTGATTGATACGCCACCCCCACGGCAGCCATGCAGGAAGTGCTCTGCTTCTGCTATCGCCGGTCGGTATTCTAATATCACCATCCCACCCTGATCGTTTCCGCGTCGGCACGTCATCTGACGCAACGCTGGCTACACGTAGGCTCGTATGCTCACGTATGCTCATGAAGGTATTCCCGACCATTAGCGATCCGGCCCGGCCACAGACAAATTGCCCAAATCATCCCGGAACACGCTGATGGTGCTCTCTGACGTCAGTGTGGGGGAGGGCGCTGCGCACATGCCAGGTGCAACTGTCGGCTCACTGAGCTGGGGGTTGGCGGTCGGCTGGAGAGGCAGGCAGCCTGCAGCGCCCCAGTGTCCGCCTTCTGTCCACAGCGTCCCAGTTGCCGCGTTCTAGGCCGCCTTATTTGCTCGGCATTTTGTGAAGGACGTCGATGGGTTGATGGCGAAGGCCGCCGACGGGAATCTCCTATGGCCTGAAGGTCGGCGGCGACGCGGGCGTTTTAGTGGGCCGTTTGTTCAGCGGAGACCGTTTGCCGAGCCGAGCCGGCCTGTCGAACCCGACACCAGTGCCGGCGCCGCCGCGTTTTTCCGATGTCGATTGGGACGGCCCGCCTAGTAACCGAGGCTGCGGCCGGAGCGGGCGCGGTGGTGCCTCCCGCATTCTGGAGCTCTAGCTGCCGCCGCCGCCTCCGCGGGTTATACGATACCGATGGTGCGGCGTGGCGGGACGTCCCTCGAATGCCGGGCCACGCAGCGAGCTGGATTTGTGAGGAAATATGGAGAAGGGTCGTCTGGGGATGGACAGGCGGACAGGCACAGATCGCACCAGTCCCAACTACCTTATTGGCCCTGGCAGATTTTTGCATTTAGCTGCCTCTCGCTTCGACCCAATTACATTTAGTTGCCTCTCACTTTGACCTGATATGCCGACCCCATCCCTGTAAAGAACTCCTGCGCTTCGTTCCCTACACTATTGTATACAATCTTGTATATGTACTGTCACTGTCACCTGGTAATCTGACATCTCCTCAGTTACTAGTTTCGCTCCGACCGCCTCGTGTCCGGCCTACGGCTCTGCCGCAATATGGCATTTATGTGTCTGCACCCGCGGACCCGATGTGGCTGTAAACATGGAGCCGCAGTGATATTTTACCTCGGAATGGCCACTCTGAGTTTATGTTGGCCGGCATTGCATTTTAACCGCCCCTTTGTTTCCAATAATGGTAACATTGCTTATAACTCTTCAACATTGTGGCTACCGTGAACTTTATTTCCTATGTAATTTCGTTACACTATTCTCATCACTGGGTTTTGGCCAAACATCACTGTTGCTCCACTAATTAATTCCAGCAGCTGTTCCTGCCGCGCTGGCGAGTGAGGCGCTCATCCGGCTCTCGGCTTCCTACCCCGGCCGTCCTGGGACCATTTCACGGCGAGGCGCCGCCGTCAGCGAAAGAAGAAAAACGTGCGTCGGTTCCTGCGCACATCCGCGCCGAAATTGGCCGTCTCTGGGTGGCGCCGGGTTGGTGCTCTGCCAGAGATATGGATCGAAATGTCGGCCGGCGCCGGCTCTGCCGAGAGACATGTGTGTCTGTTTTCGTGCGTCGGTCTGTTTGGATCGATGATTGTGTTTGTGGTCGGCGCACTGATCTGTTGGACTGTTGGTCTGTCACGTTTTTCAGATGTCTGAAGCTCAGCGAGAGTTGTGTGCGGTAGAGGCTGGATTTGATTCGTTTGTTCTGCCCTGCTGGGTTGTTGAAGACAGAATGCAGATTTGATACTCGGTGGCTGAGCTGAAGTGATCTGCACGTTATATTTTCTGTAAAACTGGCTTGGTTTTCACTCTTCTCGGCCACGACTGATGGGAGGCTCGGAGTGCAGCACCGATCCCATCCATCCCCTCTATGAAGCCCCTTGGCCCCGTCCGTGCCATCTCCGCCGCGGGGCTCGACCGTCTCCTCGCGGCTAATCTCGGTCTCGGTCACCGGGTCCGCGTTTCCACGCGGTTTCCGCACGTTTCCAGCCGGTGGAGCGCGACGAACGGAGCTGCCCGTCGCGGGATGACGTCAACTCCGGTACTTGGGTTATATCGACGGTCGCTTATCGTCGGCTCGATATAAAAGAAGCCCAGAAGCACCGCTATTTTCTCGTTTGGTGTGTATTTTTAGCCGGACCAAACTCTGATGCCTGATGCTGCCAACATCAGGCAGGGCACTGAGCGCCAATGTTGTGACATCAGGTAATGCGATGGGCTTGTTTCTCCAGCGAGTGCATTCGGCAGTGACACGGTGAATTAAATAACTTCTACACGGTGGCGGGCCGGATTGGTATTCAGGGTGGCAGTCGGACTGGCGTGCCGGCGATAAAACCTTCGTCTGGGACGGCGGAGTGATTCTTCCGTCTGACGCTGGGACCATACTCCATAGTGTTCCGTTGTGAATTCAGTGCCCGTGCCAGCGGCTTCCGTCGCTCGCCGCAGGTGCACGGGGCGCCCGCTATTCATGCAGCGCTGATGACATGCACGGAGGATTAGAGCTGACGGCCGTTGACGGGTCGAATTCCTCCTGCACAATGGTGGTCATCGCGTTAACTGTCCCGGCTGGCCGGCTGGTGGGGCCGGACAGTGCTGGTGGCAGCTCCCGCAGCGGGACAGTCAAGGTCGCAGACGCAGCCACGCGCCGCTATTTTAGGCTACACCGGGTCCCATTGCGGACGGGTCGTGTGTACAGGTGCTGTGCATAGCCTGCCACGTGTATATACCATCGCCCGCTCAGAGGGGTGGGGTGCGTGGGGGCCGGGGTCGTGTGCATAGTTCACGCGCCGTCGTGCATAATTGTCATTGTTTGTATTCATTTCGGAGCGTCGGACGGTGTCGGCTGTCGGTGTCGGCGCGAGGCCCACGGCCATCTAACGCTGTTCTCGCGTCTGGCTACCGCAGTGGCGGCGATGCGCTCCGGTGAGAATGAATGGGACAGTTAACACGCTCGGCTCCGACGGTGGTCGCCCGCTCTGCTGAGAGACGAGGGGCCTGCGCCGCCGCGACGGGCCAGCACCGCTGGGGCCCCTCGGACTGTGGCTGTCTTGAAGTTCATTATTTATTTGAGCGTTAGAGGGGCAATCCAGGCAAAGAAATAGTGGGAACAATTACGACTCTGGTGTGCCTTACTAGACTAATTAGCAGACATGTGCTTGGATCCGGAAAAATGGATCTGAGATCCGATCCCATGGATCCCGATCCGAGATCCATTCAGATCATAGATCCAACCCCTCAATTTTGTCGAGAGATCTACTGGGATCATAGATCTGACCCTTCAATTTTGTCGCTAGATCCACTCGGATCATAGATCTGGCTCCCCAATTTTGTCGTGAGATCCGTTGGGATCATACCTAGCTCATACATTGGTGCTCAAAATGTTAACAACTTTCTTTCATAAGAAGTTATGAATACCAAAATATGGTTAGAAACAAACAATCTTATACAAAGACCATATTAGTAAAGGCATCCAGTTACATTATACAGAATACAAAATAAAGGAGGCTCATGACGGTCACAACTTGAGAGAATTGAGTGACATGAAGATTGTTCACAGTTCACATACCAACAGAAAAGTTTGCATTAACAATTAACATAGAGGTAAGTCAAAGTAATGACTAATGAACAATACATAACTAGGTACCTACCACATCACAATTCATGTTAGAATCTACATAATGATATTGATAAGACAATCTCATTGATCTTGCATTAGACAACCATGAGGCTTTCCAGTTTCCAGCTACCACAATTGATTGATAAACAATAAAAGATGATACTGACACATGTGGCTTGGTTAGGTAAAGGTATTTCAATCTATTGAAAGAAATATTTGATAAAATAAACTGAGATATAAACAAAAGTATAAAATATTCAACAGCCTGCGGAAGCGATGGGAAGCGAAATATCAATTGTAATGGCCTTGGATATTTATTATTTACCGTAAAATGATTATTCAGTATCTAAATTGAACTCGTGACGTCATTTCAAATAACAAATGAGCTAGGCGTTCTACCTTCGAGTATAATGAAAATAAATAAAAAATCAAACTGGAAATTCAAAAGTCTGGAGCTTTTTTTTTAAAGAATGTTCATTTTTTCTGCCTCACATGATTTTACGATACGATTGTTTGTGAATATCATCTTTGTAGCGTTGAATTTAATGACGTAAACGTAAGCTGAAACGGTATTATATGGCCCTGAGCGGTGTGCGCCTTGCATCTTAATTTTATTCACTTTTCAAAAGAATAACAATATCTTACGTCATTAGTTTACAGGGCCTATTACGGGGAATCTTTTGGAATCATTACGGTCTTGGTCAAATTAAGATTTTTCATTGGTCAAACGATAATGACGTAATAAAACCATATTACCAAAACGTGAGCTGTGAATTTCGTTTGTCTTTTTTTGGGAGGCTCTCTCATAACAAAAGCACAGCATGGCACCACACGTGGCAGCTGGCAGGATGCCAAAAGTGGCCAAAAGTAGGTAATCTGAAGAAGTTGATGCCATTTTTGAACTTGTAATTTTATTAGGAAAGTATTAGAGGTTGGTTGCTATTCTTACTAAATCGAAATTGTGTTGCACATACTAATAGCTCATATGAACATTCTGGATTGGGATTTCATACCTGGCAGAAGTGGATTGCTGGATTATTTTTAACAAAACTGACCTATTTGGCTTCCAGGTTTGATTTCCTAACATCTGTCCATAGGCGGCAGAACAGGGGGGGGGGGGGGTGGCACCAGGGTACAGTGCCCCCCATAGAGTTTGGCATTTTAGCATTAGCCCTACTGGCGTTGCAGAAAGAATGGGACCAAAATGAAAATCTGCAGTGCCCTGCTGCCACTGCATCTGTCTGTAGGGGAGAGGCGGGAGAATTGGGACGCAGGAGAATAGGGACACGCCAATATCTAAAAAATGGACAGCATCCTTGCACGATTATTGCCTTTGCCTTTTGATTCTATGTGTCATGCAACGATGGGAAGCCTCAGCAACCCTTTTGTGGCCGTCGTTTGGGCTGTGCTGGCTGGGCACCAAAAAACTTGTTTTTTCGAGTGCTATTCTGAGTTGTCTGTGCATTGCATATGACAAAATATCTTTCTTTCAACATGTTACGATGTTAGATTAACACCGTCCTTATGCGATTGCTGGTTTGTATGAACACCCTCTGTAACTGATAAATGACAAAAAAATGCGTGATTTGTTATGGCGGTGTTGTGGGAGAATAGGGACACCAAATGGTAAAAGCGGTAAAGTGGTGCAAAAATATGTGTTTTTACCTTCGTGTTTTGGAAGGGGTTGCAGCTGCACCCTTAACCACAAATACATCAAAGCGAAGACCAGAAAGTCTTACTCTGGTAGGAAAATGTGCATTTTATGGGAACATCGTAATCGTGAAAGACAATCCCGGCATTTAACGAATCAGATAGTGTGAAGATAAGTTCCAATGTATCAAATGATTGCCTATAAACATAGACACGACAAATAATTCGAGATAGAGTCATCCCAATACCCGATTTTTATATGTCCCAATTCAGCTTCGTGTCTGTCCCTTGTCTCCTTGCATGTGTCCCTATTCTCCTGAAAATGAGTGTTTTTGTTTTTGTCCACATATAGCTACATCATTGCACAGGCTCGCTATTTTATGATGGCATAATGCAGAGAAATGGTGGACCTTTTATTGGCGCTGCGCAAAGCAGCTTGGCTACAATACTTGCCAAATAATACCTCAATGAACATGGCCTGAGAAATAAGTCCCAATTCTCCCGCCTCTCCCCTACTGTTTGTTCTTTGAATTAAAGTGGCTGTAGCTTGTTGATAAGATTGTCATCAGTGCTGTCATGAAAAAGTTACAATTGGTCACAAAAAGTAGCAATATGCATGTTCTTGGTTTATTTTAAATGTAGTACAAATGTTGTTTATTTAAATTCAAATTTAATGATGATACCTAATGATCACAAGTGGTCTTAACCAATAACCATGTCCACAAGTGATAATTCTCAATTGTATTGCACTGTAAGGTGTACAATTATGTAGGATAAGGGTTTCATTGGCTACATGTTGTCGTGAGATCCATACAGATCATAGGTCCTCCACAAATTTTAGCCCGCTGGATCCACAGAGATCATAGATCCGACCCCTAAATTTTGTCGAGAGATCCATTCAGATCATAGATCCAACCCCTGAATTTTGTCGAGAGATCCACTCGGATCATAGATCCAACCCCTCTATTTTGTCGAGAGATCCACTGAGATCATAGATCCAGCTCTCGGATCCAAGCACATGTCTGCTAATTAGTATACAACTGCATAGCATGCTCATTATTCCCTGATTAATCAGATAGTTTGCCCAATTCTTAGTGATAATGCAAATAGCTGGTTTCTCGCACTCACTGACGCATTCACATTTGCTTGTTGTAATTGCAATGACTCGGAGAAATCAGAAGAAAAAAGCTCCAATCTAGAGTAACAATTACGATATTTGGACGGCGCACGTGGCTCCGGTCAGCACCCAGCGTACCGGGGCCGCTGCTCTCGTCTGACCCCGGTCCAGCCTCGTACGGGGCCGAGCGGGATCAGCTGAGCGGCTCAGCTGCTCACCCGTCCCGCGCACCGACCCCCGACCAGTTCTCAAGTGCTCGGTTAGCTGACCTGTCCACTGCGCTCAGCACTGCGGCGCGCAGGTTATCCTGTTTATCCGTGCCTTCATCCTCCACTCGACCGCCCGGGTGTCTGGTTCGGGTGGTCGGTACGGCGGCGGGCCGACCGCCCGGCTCGCACACGCAGCTGACGGATTATCCCCGGCTCGGATGACGTCCGCCGGTGTCGGCACGTCACCCGATGACGGCGATGACGCGCCGGTCCCGGATGTGCGCTGCGTGTGCGTGTCAGATGCGTCATCTTGCAGATAGACGTACGTTGCAACGGTGTTGATACAAGCTCTTCTGATCACCATCTCCCGAACTTTTCCACCCGCCCGTGGATAACGCGACCTTGGAGTCCTGAAGTTCAAAAACATTTCAGCCTAGCGACAGGGCGGGCGGGCGCTACTAGTTCACACTGGCTGGCAACTGCAGAGATCCGCCGCCGATGTGATTAGGCCGGCCTACCGTTAGCAGTCGATTCGTATGCGGGCATATTGCCGGTCTTTTTGGGAGTTGGTCCGACGGTCTGCCATTGGGCCGACTGTGCCGGGCCGGATCTGCACCAATTGCCGCTCGGCGAGACGTGACTGTCGACAGGCCACCATCATCATCGGCGTCATCATCATTTGTTTGAGCTGCATCCGCTACTGAGCGCAGCAGCCTCCATGGTGAGGGAGGGGTGGCCGCGCCAGCCGGATGTCACGGCTCTGATGACCGGCGGCTCGTTTTTGTGTGAAATACGGCAGCAGACTGTGGGTCGGAGCCGTCTGGGAGGGTCCTGGTTGCGACTGACTGGTCATGAAAGTCAATGGTTATCCCGCGTATCACTGCGAAGGTGATGTCCGATCTTTGGTTGATCTGTAGCTGACAAGACGGTTCAGAGTACCACTGGTCCTTCAGACTCGGCCGTTTGGGGTTGATCGATGACTGCTCCCACAGCCCACATATCACAATACTTGCCCAATACACAGGGAGACAGGCCTCCATCAGATCTGGGTAGCATGATGCCTTACGCATTTTGCTAGCTGGATTGAAAATGCTTGCTTATTTCTATACCATTCTTCTATCCACTCCTCTGTTCCATCGTCTTTTTTCACATGCCCTGTTTCTAACGTCACTGTCCCATTATATGTATGTATCTCGCGTTGTCACAACACAACCATCACCGCCTGTAACCGTATTCGTCTCTGTCTTCAGGTGAGCCCTCAGACGCGCCGGAAAAAGGATGAGATCGCTGTGGACTGCTTGGACTACAACAAGAAGATCCTGCACACTGCCTGGCACCCGCACGAGAACACGATCGCCGTGGCGGCCACCAACCAGCTCTACATCTTCCACGAGAAGGACTTCTAGCCGGCGGCGACCAGGACTCGGGGATCTGACTCTCCGCGCCGGTGAGACCGGGGAAGAGGTTGACGGAAAGGGAGGGTGATGGTTGAAAGGGGGGACGGATAGGGTAGGTGTGAAATGGGAGGTGGTGGTCAAGGGAGGGCTGGCTCGGGTTGGTGCAATTTTCTATATGATGGGGTCTCTGGAAGCGAAGCAATCAGTCGGAGCATTAGCATCGTCCTAAAAAAAAAACGCCACGTACCTTCCGTGTCACGTAATCGGTATGAAACTCGCGAAGATTGGGAAGGGCATTTCGTTGATTCTCTGCGCTTCTAGCCGAGCCATTTGGTCTGCGTGTCTGTCGCTTTAGATCGCCTGGCCGCTGTATTCTCGAAGCCAGGCCCACCCGGCTGGCTACTGAGCGGCATTGACTGAATGGCTGCTGTGTTTACTGTCAAAGTTTGATGCTGTGGGCTGCTCAAGCTAGTTCAAGTTGCTCTCAGGCATTTCAGCACTTGTCGAGGTGTGTCGGAAAGTGGTTTTAGCATTCCACGGAGTCGTTAGTAAGGAAAAGATGGACTACTTGTGACGGTGTCAGTCCATGTGACGCTTGCAAACTCTGGTAATCCCTATAAACTGTAGCTCCCTACGACGTTACTGCCATGTAAAATAACAATCAGCTTCTGTGTCAGCTTCAATTTATCCTGTTTGCCTCGTGACCAAATGACATGCGTAATGATTTATCTACATCGGAAAGTGTGCTTTGGATGGCGAGTCGGATTGAATAAGTCCTACCTACGTTGGTGCTTCGCTATGCGCACGTCAGATCGATAAAAAGGTTCGTGCACAGAGATTGTTGTATTTTTCCGTGAGCAATACAAGTGACGTGCTTACTGCTTACTGCTTATACGTCAGGGATGAATAGTTAGCCCCTTTCCGGGATACCCTGAATCGATCCATGTATGATAAAGCTTCATTCGAGTAGGCTTGCCGGCGCTTTTATTCTAACAGCTTGGCGTCCAAAAATAATAAATAGCTTCTCGGCATTTCAGTTTGAAATAGTTCCAGTTGCGACCAGTTTCCTCCGTCTGTCGCCGCAATTTAGGCTCGAGAAGGGAAACAGTTTGAGCCGGCGGCCGCCCACGTTTAGCGCGTGGCAATTATTCGGCGGTGGCCTGTTTGCTGGCTGTCTCCCTCCCATGGGTGGGCGGACGGGCCGCTCTCTCTGCCCACTCGCCTTCTCCAAATGGTGCTGTCCGCGAGATGGGCTGCCACCGCCCACCGGCCTGCCGTCAGAGCGCTCTGTGCTGGTGTGTTTGGTGATTGTTGAAAGGACAGAAGGACGTGGTGTGTGCGCCGCTGCCCGTCTCCGGTACGGCTCAGTTGTGTGGACCATGCAGTCTCAAGGATTGTCTCTGCCGAGACGGATCGGTACACCGGGTGCGGCGGAGGCACTGCTTCTACCAACCTCTGAGATAGACCCTGCGCCTCTCAGGGTGGAGGCTGAAAGAACCAGTATGTGTCAGTCATGATAGAAATGACGGCCGCCGTCCCAAGACCATCTCCCTCTGCCCGTTTTCTCGGTATCCCAGCCCGCTGCAAGAACTTGGTAGGGATAAGCGAGGCTCATAGATGGCTTAGTGTTCATTACCAACTGTGACTGTTTCTTGGAGCTAGTAGTGGTGGACCAGCTGAGACTGTCCTGGCGAGTTACGGAGCTCACAGCGACGGCGGCGACGGAGAAGCATCCGGGTATGACCGAAACATAGTTACAGACCGCGCTAATGGATGGAAATGCGATTAGCAGCGTCCCAATGCAGGGCGCTCTGTGCCGTGCACCATACAGCTCGTTTGATCTCCATAGACGGAAATTCAGTTGGCTACCGGAATGGCGCTTATGTGGCGATTGATTTCCATGGGCTGATATTCCCATTGACGATTATTAATTCCGGGAACAGAGAATGCCGGCGGGGGACGCACCGTTGGACTGCGGAAATCCAGCAATCCAGATCTACCACCGCGCTACCGTCGACGCTCTATTGCATTAGACGGCTCATTCGCCGAGCCGCTGCCTCCCCCCCCTCTGCCCGGGGGGGGGGGGCTCTGTCACGTGCCGCCGACGGCAGTGTTGGCCAGATGCTGACGGCGATAGGGGACCGGACGGGACGGAAGGCTATTGTGGCCCCAATGTGTGACGATTGCGCGACACTGTTTGTGCGTGCCACTGTGCGTGTCGAGGCACGTGTGTTTGTGTGTGGAAAGGGTGGCTTGTTTGGCTACTGGGTGACTGGCCGGGTGACTGCTGTAGAGGTTACGGCGTGGTGGGGGGGGGGGGGGGGTTCATTACTACTGAGGCTGGCTGCTGATAGGGCAAGTGATACCTTTTTGGTCATGTTATCCGTGAACACTTATTTAACCTGGTGCTGTTGTAGAGAGGAACCTACTGCCTGTACTGTTATTCACTGTGATTGGTTTATTGTCAGTGCCCCTGAATCTGTCAGCTGTGTCAGTGATGTATGCAAACCAGTTCGAAGAACATCATCTGACCGTCCTCCCCCGGTTCTGTTCGCAGCTAGCCGATGAATCAAATGAGCCGCCGGCGGTGGGCAGAACTCTGAGCTCTGCGCCCGACCGAGCGGCCGGCAGCGGCCGACCTGTGGCCCCCGCCACCGCCGGCCACCGCCACCGGTCCGGTCCATCCCGGTGACCCGGCGGGCCGGCAGCGCACGCCGACACTACCAGCGGCCCGCGGCCGGCCAGTGCCGGCCCAGCGCGACCGGCGGCGCTTTTATTTGTGAACTGTTTACCCGCAACTGTGCTGAGGCGAGACGATGAATAGTGCTGCCGTGTTTTTGATTGGAGCGAGCGGGCCGGCGGGCCCGGCGGCCGGCGCCGCGGCTGACGAACATTCCGCGGCACGCGACCCTGGCCGGTCGGCCGACGGCCGGACACTGAGAAGCGAGTGGCGCGGGCCGGCGTGCCCACCCACAGACGGAGCGGGCAGGGCGGCGGACGCTCGCCGCCGCCCCCAGAGCGAGCGAGACCGCTGCGAACAGCACGGGCCGTGAGTAAAATAAACATGTCCATTGCGACCGGTGGTTTTTGAGGCGGTAGCAGCGGCGGCGTCGAGCGCGGCCGGCGCTCTAACGGAGATGAATGGAAGCTCCGGTCGCCGGTCGCCGGTCGCGGCGGCAGAGACTGAGGAGAGCAGAGGGCCGGGCCGGAGGCGGCCGGGTGTCGTCTCTGTAGCGCCGTTTCGGCGGCCCTGGCACAGACATCGATTGGCGGCTGAGGAGGAAGGGAAGGGGTGAGTGGGCTGGAGGCCGCCGGCCGGTTCGGCCTTGGTTTGAAGCGGGCCGTGGAGGGAGCTGGTGCGATCGATGGCTCGGAGCGCGCCACATCCGGCTCCGCTGCGCCGGAACTGTCTGGGGACGCGCCGCAGGAGCCGAGGGCGGGTCGCGGTGTCCGCAGGAGCCGAGGGCGGGTCGCGGTGTGCGGAACTGAAGCGCCGGTAGTGTCCTCTGAATCAGGCTGGCACGCGCTAGGTGCGACTGTGGATAATTCTTAGGCCTCATGGGGATGGCAACAGGTGAATCAAATTTGCTGCAAGATAAGATATTTAAAGACCGGTAGCCGGATCTACGGTAGGCTACGACAAACCGAGTCTACACTAACTACATTTGGAGTCCAACGGATTCGTCTTGAAATTGTTTTGGTAGTCTCCTCTCTTCCCTGATCTGATTAAGTCGCGCGGGAAGGAAAGTTTGGAGTTCAGCCATGGGCCGCATACCTCAGTCGACAGTTCATTCTGTTTGGTAAAGTATCCTTGCGAATAGCCAACTTGTGACTACTTGAGTGGACCAGCGAGTTAGCGTGGTCGAGGCGAAGTTAGCGACGCTGCTCCCGGCGACCCGTCGCCCCAGGGAGGGTTCTGGTGAGGCAGGCTGTCAGTCGAAATCGGATGGGTCCATGGGGAACGCTGAGTCAGCGGTGATAGTCCAAGTCTGAATCGGTGATCCTCCGTGGTCCCGACATAACCGAACTGCTCTGCCCGCAGTGGGCGATCAACACTGCAGTCTGGAAATGTAACTACCTTCAAATTGTGTTATGCGGTGTGTTTAACGAGGAATGGCATTCCGACATCCGAATTTCAAGTGGCATTGTTCTTACCAGCTCTGAAGCCTGAACTCATTTTACAATCAAAATTTAGGCAGAGATCTTAATTGAAAAACGTCCGTATTTTCCCACTGATGTTCGGATAAATCCTTCTGGGACAGGGGAGATCCCTTCACCAACGCATTAGTACGATTTGCGCGGTCAACAGAGCCTGATTGGATGCCCCCGAACCCGTGGCTCTGATAATGCTGCCACTTATGAGACGTAGAAAGTGGTTGGGTTTTGTCCGCTAAATGGCGAAGCATTGCTAACCTAACGGCTATTCTGTCTGTCATGTTTGAAATGTCCCAGCAGAACAGTGGATACCGTTTCAGTGAAAGGCTAGATAAAAGTTAATTAAATCGAAGCGTTACATTCTCCCGTGCATACTGAACGGCCACAACCCATTAATTTATTTTCACATCTTTTTAGACATCAAAAAATGTATGCAATTTTACCTAACTTACCAAAGGCAAACAATGCCAAGATTCGATTTTCAACAAATTCGTTTTGACCCGACACTAGTAATCGAACATCCAAACCGTGTGTTGGCCTATTTTGTGCCGTCTTGTCGCCCCGGTCGGATGATTAAATCAGCAGCTCGACCCAATGTACCCTATTTTGTACTGTTCGGTCGGTGGCTGGTATCGGCCGACCTAAGGGATTCATTACCGCTGTCACAAACGTCAAAGGATTTCCGATTGACGGCTGCGCTGCCTCTGTTTGCTCAATGCTCAAATAGAATTTCTGTGGTTTTGAGGATTGCAAACGATGGATGTATTGGGTGAAGAATAGGTTACTGAATGGATGGATGTGGCCATTGGATGGATATTGGACATTACACAATGGATGTGGCTGCAGTCTACAGAGTACAGATGAAGTCTCATTGATTTGTTGAAAGCGTTTCGATAGATGGATTTTCTCTGTCATGTTTTTTCGTCTCTTGATTTTGTTTGTTAGCTGTTTGACTTCGTTCTTAGTTTGTAGTTTTTTTTACTGCGATATTTGTTTAATCGCTCTTGACATTTTAGAAACAGATCCGAACTAAATGCAATCGAATTTGAATAAAACACGGAACCTAATTAGTACCTCTCTCCGTTCAGTGTTCGCTCCAATGTTCGCTCCAATTACCATCCCTTCCTCCTACCGACGCACCGCCCGTGTTCGCACAATGCCTTCCTCGTCTCCGCGACACCTAGAATAGAGCGATGCTAGAATAGCTGCCACCTTCCACATCTCGGCCGCGCTCCCCAGGGAGCCATTCGGCGACGCTGCGACTCATTAGACCATTGTCTGCCGCTGTTGGGATGCAGGTCTGCTGTCTGTGTTAGTGTTGTGCGGGCATAGGCGTCGCCAGACATTTTCGGTTGGGGGGGGGCAAAATCAAGTTTTGTGTTAAATCTTGCCTTTCCCCAGCCGTTACTCACTCGTTTTACATACCATTCGACGCGCAATGGTGCGAGGAATCCGATGGTGACAAACTTTTCCTTCTAGCTATAGCATGTATTTTTTTAGAAAAAAAATCAAAATTTTGAAATTTCTGGACAAAAACGACCGTTAAAATTACAGTGGCTGCGATTGCCGACGCACTGCAGAGGGCCCCTGTGCAGACTCTCGTCATTCATGATCATTACCCAGAAAAAGGTGAAAAACGCTCCATTTGAATCGGATCACTTCGCTAAAGTCTCCATTCACGCATGCATGCCGAGGTTTTACGTGAAATGCATAGGGCTTGTCCCAGCCGCCGATTGTAGCTAAGAATTGGGCATTCGGCGGAGACTGAGAGTGAATGTCGGAAGTGTGAATCGGAAGTACATCATTCATCCTTGCTGCAGTGAGAATAAGTGTTTTGTTCACTCGAGTGTGAACAAAAAGTTTCTGGTTTTTCGAGTGAAGGGAAGCGCTTCAAACGCGACCAAAAATATTTAACGGAACCAAAAGTTACGCACGGCATAGCGGCAAGGGATCCCTTAGAGATAGGCTTGCGACTTCCAGGCCATTTCAGGCCACTCAGGGTCACCCCAAATATTTACGTGTATGTGGTGCTTACTGCTTTAGGGCTTTCCGAGCCTAAGGTGGGCCCGGAAAGCCCTTTAGGGCACACGAGCTTTCAGAAGCCAGTGTGGGCGGCGGGCGCTAAGAGACTAGGCCCAGGGTGAGCCTGGATCCCTCGAATAACAGTGTGAACCGTCGGGGTCTGTGTCGAATCCTTAAGGACCCTACGTAGGTAGGGACATAAGAAACATGTGTTGCGGCCCTCAGAGGGACACGTGAGTTGTGACCCCTCAGATGCCGGGTTGGGGTTAGTAAAGTCTGTCGCCTCAAAAGTTCGGCTGAACTATCAGAGGCCAGTTGAGGTTTTCAGAAATTTTCGAAGGCATCCTCAAAGATTCGTGTGGCCCTTCAGAGGTCTACGTATGTATAAGGTCCTCAAAGATCCCTGTATGGGCCCTCAGAGAAACAGACACCAGTGGGACTCTCAGAGGCCGGTTTGGGCCCTCCGAAAGCTTCTTAGATAGAGCTCAGTAGAGCTCCTTAGGAGCCTGTGTGAAAAGCAAGCTCATGAAGCTCAAGCAAGCTCAAACAAAGCAAAGCTCAAACAAAGAATTGAACAAAGCAAGCTCATGTTCAAGGCCCTGCGGCACTTGAACGGTACTTGTGCCTGTCGCAGACATTTGACGCGAGTTGAGAAAGGCCCCGAAAATTTCGTGTCACGCTTTGAACGAAAATTATGTGTCAGCACTCCAAAACTTATGAAAATCAGCTACAAAATGTAATAAAGAATCAACTAGGAACATGGAATGAATCATAGCATTGACATTTCCGAGTCTGGAGTCGGAGTCTTGAAGATTTTGGCGACTGCGACTCTGACTTTGGTTTGAACTGCACGCTCCAACAGAGTCTGACCTCACAGGCATTCTCAGAAAGGTACCCCCATTTTTTCCCGACTCCAAAATCTCATCGGATCTGTATCGATCTCAGGGGGTGCCTGGTCCGAGGTTGGGGGGGGGGGGCAAGCTGCCCCGCTTGCCCCCCCGTGGCGACGCTAATGTGTGCGGGTGACGTTTCTCAACCCGGTGAGACCCGCTCCTACAACAGTCCCCGGCGCGACCGCGGTGCGGCGGTCGCGGGATGATGGTGCGCTACGAGCGCACAGACGGTTATGTAAATAACAAACGACAGCAGACGTCAGACAGCTCCCTCCTCCAGTACCAGGCGACACCTTAGCGTTCGTTCTGATTGTTATATCGGCCCCAGGTACCTACAAAGCACATTGTTTCCTTGTACAGGGTGTCCCGAAATTGATTGCGCCTTCATCCCATCTCATTCACAATAAAACAAAAAATGGTGGGTACTTGGCTTATTTACCGGTGCATCCTCCCCTTGGTTGACTGCACTCCGTCATGCGCTCAGGCATCCCGCACACCAGATTGTCCAGCGTCTCGGCGCTGATCTGACGCCTAGCGTTCTGCAGATTGCTGACCAGCACCTTCTCGGAGGTGGGGGGCTCTCTTGTCCAGCTCGCCCTGCACGATAGCCCAGAGATTTTCAATGGGAGACCAGTCAGGGCTGTTGCCGTGCCATACGCCCTTCTCCCAGAACCCTTGGAGGTTGTCGCGGCACCACTGCCGAGTCTTGGCCACGTTGCGCGCTGGCGCGCTGTCTTGCTGAAAAATCGCTTCTGACATCTCAGGCAAGAGTTTTACCGTGGCATCAGCGCCGAGACGCTGGACAATCTGGTGTGCGGGATGCCTGAGCCCATAAGAGATTGCATTCGACTAAGGGGAGGATGCATCGGTAAATAAACCAAGCACCGATCTTTTTTTTTTTTGTTTTATTATGAATGCGATGGGCTGAAGGGGCAATCAATTTCGGGACACCCTGTATACATACGCCTCCTCCTCCATCTATTTCACATATTCAATTGCAGTCGTTT